TTGTATTTTTCGGACTGTTTTAAATATATTTTATTTTATCGGGTCAAATAAAATATATTATGTGTTCTTAATCATTATACCCTTTATAATGAATGTACATTCCCAAACTTTAATTTATAAGTCCCCGAAATTCAATTTCGGGCTTTTATCGGTTAAATTATCAATACCGATATTTGGGCTTCTTTTGACCAATCAGTCAACTCTGGACCTTTCCATGGTTCAAAAGAAGTAGCCACCACTATATAAATATTATCTTGACCAAGATAAATAAAATATATGGTTTCGGGAATTTCGGGCGGTCCCCGCTCCCGGTGTGGGCCCCACGTGCGAATTTATTAATCACGCACAAGAATTAATAAAAGTTCACAACTTCGTATACTTATTAACCGTTCCACAAGGTTCAATACATTATCCACTTAAAAGTAAAATACATTTGGGGACGGTGTTACATGTTAGAGTTGGACAACGGATCATACCTTCGGGCAGTTGTGGCTATGGACCGGTTGTGATGAGTTCGCCGACGAGTCGAGTTATTGGCAGTGGCTAGGGTAGGCTGGTGGGGGAGGGGGTGGGCTGGTGGGGGAGGGGTTAGATGATGTGGGCTGGTGGGGTAGGTGGGGTAGGTGGGTCGAGGGCTAGTGTAGTCTTACATGGGAGGGGCCGGGGTGGGCTGATGGGGCAGGGGGCGCTGGTTGCACTGGTATTGCAGTGAGCAGGGCTGGGTGCGGCAGTGAGCATTGCTGGGGTGGGCAGGGCTGGGGTGGACAGGGCCCGGGGTTGGCTTGAACTGGTAGGGTAGGGAGCTAGTAGGGGCCTAAGGGTGGCTTTGGTCAAGGTAGAAGCGATTACGGGAGGCAATGGTCGGGGATGGCGGCGATCAGTAGGATGGCCAAGGCGGTCGTGGTCACTCATGAGGCATTGAATTCACTAGGGCCAGGTGGTCATTGGGACCACGTGGTCACTGGTGTTTAAGCTCAGTGTCACTGGAGTTGGGGTGATACGAGAGCCAGGCGGTCATCAGTTATTAAGTCTGGTGTCACTCGAGTGAGGTGTCACCGGAGTCGGGTGGTCATTGGGGCCGGGTTGTAATTGGGGCAGGGTAGTCATTGGAGTCGGGCGGTCACTGGTCACTGGTGGATTATTGTAACTGTAACTGGTGAATCGGATAATTGTAACTGGCGGGTCATGTAACTATAATTGCACTACTACAAAATCATGCTTTGCCTACAAAATTTGGGCATACAAAATTAAATTTGTAGTCGAAAGTGCTTTTCGCGCGACGAAATAAATCATTTGTGGGGAGAGTATTGTGACTACAAATATATTTTTTCCATACAAATTATTTATGTCGACAAAAGCTACTTTTCCAGACAAGAAATTATTTCGTAGTGCTATCCTTTTCCCTACAAATGTGCTTTGCATACAAATTAAATTTGTAGTCTAATGTATTTTGTCACGACAAAATACATTGTTCGTGGAGAAAGTTATTTAACTACAAATATTTGTTTTCATACAAATTAATGGCGTCAACAAAAGTTTCCTTTGTAACAAATTACGTAGTACTACGTGTTTTGTGGGGTTAGTTTTTTTTCCAACAAAGGAAACTTTGTGGAACCATGATTTTTAGTATAAGTATGTGTTATATCATTTTATGATTTTTTTGTTTTGTGCGCAAACTATAGCTTGGTCCTAATGGGTGATTCTTCTGCAGCGACAAATATCTTTACACTACAAAATACTATCCTAGAAAATCATTTGTGGCAAAACTACTCTTAGGCCTACAAAAATAGCCCTTGTGTGATATGATTTTCCTACAAATCACTCACCATAAAAGAATTTATTTGTAGCGAAAAGGACATTGTTTCGATGAATAGCTTTTTCTACAAAAAATATTCGTAGAGAAAAATATATTTTATCTACAAATTTTTTTCCATACAACAAATTATTGTTGGAAAAAAGATCTTGCGCCTACAAACAATGTTGAGGTAAAAGTACTTGGAAGACAAATTTTATTTGTCTAGAAAAGTTTTGTATGCCTAAACTTTAGCAGACAAAGTTATGAATTTCGTAGGGTGATATCTTTCGCTTCGATGATTTCCCTACAAAAATAGCCACAAATTTTTTTTGTCTCCAAAAGATTCTACCTACAAAATTTGATATGTCCCTACAAATACTGTTTGTATGAAAAACCAAAAAATGTAGTAGTGTTGGCGAGTTATATAACTGTAAGGGTCTGTAACTGGCGAGTCATGTAACTGTAACTAGCGAACCAGGTAACTGTAACATGTGGGTCGGGTAAGTGAGTAACTGTAACTGCCGAATCACGTAATTGTAACTGACAGATCGTGCAACTGTAACTGGCGAATAGAGTAATTGTAACTGGCGGGTCATGTAACTCTAACTAGCGTCACATAGCTATAATTGATCGGGCGGTAAGTGTAATTAGATGGGCAGATAATTGTAACTCGTGGTGGGTAACTACTACTGGTTAGATGTGTAACTGGAATTATTTGGACGTATTGTAACTGATCGGATCAATTAATTATAAATTATCACTGACTATAATTTATTGGAAAAGAAGATATAAAGGTGAATTTTTTGTGGTCTAGGAAAGTTGGAAACGACAAAGTGAAACGTGGGCACATGAATTAGTGCATAACTGCATACGGAGTAGTATAGAATTATTTTATACTCCCTCTGTCCCTAAATTTACTTCCAACTTTCTCTTTGCGTCCGTCCAAAAAAGAACTTCACTTTCTCCTTTTGTCAAAGAATTTGTGGTTCACATCATTTCTCTCTCATCTGCACAACTCTCCAACACACAATTCTCACTTTCTTAATCACCGTGCCACTTTAATTTGGAAAAACAATCAGGGATGGAGGGAGTATAAGGGAGGGACGTATTTGATAATTCCATCCCAAAATCAAGTAATAGATCATACGGATGGTATCTTTTTTGGAAATAACTGAAAGAGGTCTTATATTTGTCCAAACACTTTCAAGTAGTAATATTGGTGACCTAACCCCAAAGAATTTCTTTTACATGTAAGAAAAATTGAGTCTATTCTTTTAATTTCAGACTCAATGGGAGCCTCATCCGTCATCATCCACCCTTTACTGTAGTCTTCTAAGTGATGCACTATTAAGAGCCCGTTTGGTAGCACAAAAATCGGTTGATTTGGTTGATTCTGTTGAAATTTATGAAGTTTTGGCTGAAGTGGCTGTATTGGCTTCTGCTGATTTAAGAAAAAATTATTTTAAAAGTATATTTTATTAATAAAATAAAAAAAAATTATATGTAAGAATAGCTAAAATGGTCATCCACAGTAACTTCAACCAATACAACCATAAAAGTAACCCTAACCTTACTTTTTCTGCTTATTACACAATTCAGCGCACAAAAGAAAAAATTACGTGTTTGGTGAAAAAGTTGACTGATAAGTCTGATAAGCCGAAAAACACTATTGCCAAACCGCCTCTATATCCCAATTTCGCACTTTTTTGCATTGACATAAAACTTTGATCTATTTATCAAAATGATTCTGCTTTTTCTTTTGCATGACTCGACCAAAATTAAAACAGTGCAATAGACCACACTTAAAGTGCATTAGCATTCAGATCCAACAAACCATTGATCGACATAATTAAAAAGTTCAATCATGCTACAAGAATGTTTGAAACCAAGAATGCGAAAAGTTCACTCCTAGATTTTAAGTCCAGCTAGAAACAGTTCTTCATTGTATCCCTTCGTATTTGGCATCTTTATTGATGAGGCTCCAATGCTCCATTGATGGAAGTATTGTTTGACTTATAAATAACTTGTAGGCTATTAAAGTCTTGATTGTTCCAAATTTTGGAATCGTAGCCTTCCACATGAACCACAAATAATTAATACGAGGAAGTATCATTCTAAAAAAAATCAATAGAATGTAATATGTATTTCGTATATTACTTCCTTTGTTCCAAAATTATCTTCATACTTTCCTTTTCGATCCGTCCCAAATTTATCTTCTCTTTCCCTTTTTAGCAAAGAATTTGTGCTTCACAATCATTCTTACACATTTCTCTCTCCTCTGCACAACTCTCCACCACACATTTCCCACCATCTTAAAACTTGTGCCCAGTCAAAAAATGAGATAAATATGGGATGGAGAGAGTAGCTTCTAACGACCAATAAAACAACAGTGTCTGAGTTCAAGCCGATGAGTAGGTGAAGTTTGCATAATTACAATAAAATTATTAAAAAAAAGGATGATACCCCATCCCTGAGCCCCCAACACTGACCGGATGACACAATGAGAGAATATAAATTGGACTATAATTATAATATGACAAATAGAGAGTGCGGTTCTGTTCCCGATACTTGCAGAGCCCTTCTATTGAGTAACTCTCATCACAGTTGTCGGGAGTCGAACCTGGGACCTAACCCTAGTGACACTCTCTCGCTACCGGTTACCATAAAATTATTCCATAGAACTTTATGGCGATAAGACCCTACCGTAGATGTCAGTGCACTTAGGATACCCTACCACAAGAAATGGTAGGGTATCAACAATTTTTTTATGGCTTCTTCACCGCAATTTCATACTACTTAGTTCGTATATAGGAAGACCGGGAAAATTGATCCAAATTAAATCGGAACGAACTTTGAGAAACTCTTCTACATCGATCGTAAAATATTCGGATAAGACCTTTAAAGTGAGTAAGGCTTCTCTCATCATTACTTTGTTGCAATCGATCTCGTTTTCAAATTTAAAATGGCCACCCATCCTTTATCATGCAGTTTGACTTAACAATGAATGTCATATTTTTCAATGAGACCACGAATGGCCTTCAACCTAGCCCCACATATAAAAAAATTAGTCAACAAGGCAATGACCTTCAACTAGCAGTCTAGATGGATAATATAAAAAAAATTATCTTTACCAAATGATAAAAAGTATCTGTGCACAAACAATTGATTAACGTGTAAAATGACGTGTAGAACACTAGAACTTAGCATGTACAAATAGCTAGCATTTCTCAGGTAATATACATACACAACATTCAAATAACATGCATGTATAGTAACTATAGTTAGTGATCGAGTTTTTTTTTTGTAACATACTTCGTATATATACTAGTACAGAGTTAAGATTTGAGAAGTTTCTTTAATTTAGTACTGAAACATGTCTCACTTCCTTAACCATTTTTTTTTTTTGAGAAATTGCTCACATGAGAGCAAAATAAAGACCAATTAATTTCACAAATATGACTACTTGTTCTCGACATAGAACTTAATCAATTATAATAAAAGAAACCTTTGTTGGGAAACAAATAAGTATAGTATAATAAGGATGCTGAGTTTATAGATGGGTGCATGGGCGGGGCCTAACCGGCTTATTAGACTTCGACATAGCTGTCTTCTTGAACTCACGCTTGAAAATCATCATAGAAATGTAAAACAAAGCAACGGGCACCAAAACACTGCTCTCCACACTTGCGGTGCTCACCGGACGCTCTAGGAAAGTGGCTCCATAAGCCGCCATGGCACCGCCGGCATAGATGGCGTTACCCCATCCAAAGTCGAGTTTCTCCAAACCAATTCTCGATATGTCCGAAACAAGCAAGTTCCTCGCCACGGGCACCCTTGGACGACCGTTTACCACCATGAAATTAATCACCGACTTGACGTAGTCGAGAGTCAGTTTCTCCTTGGCTTCTCTGATCAACTGGATGGCATAAGTGAGGGGACTCTCACACAACACCTTCGCGTTGGCGGAAGCCGATAGCATCACGATGCCGTTTCCGTAGTACCCACGCGGAAGTGTCAGTCCGGTCACCGAGGACCTTCCCCGAATGTCACTGGGGAAAGTGATGGTGACCGTAGTGTCGGGGTGCAGCTGCAGCCCGACAGTGCGGCATTTCCACAAACACGCGGAGATCACCTCAAACGTGGAGCACTTGCCGAAGCCTTCCTCCATAACTTGGTCCTTCAGGGCTTGGATGTCTTGCGGAGTGAGGGTGAATGAGCGTTGAGCCAGAATGAGTTTCAGAATGGCGGGGAAGAAGAAGAAACGGGGCCGGGCTGCCATTTTTTCGAAGTCCACAACCACGCTGGCCCACCACTCCATGTCGAGCAGCTTGAACCGCATGTTGGTACTGGTGGGCGCCACGGCGTCCTCGATCGTCGTCGGCGATGATGAATCAGCAGCGGATAGCAGCTGTCTCTCCCAGACCGGCAAAACCGAGGGCTCTGGAGCGCCGGTGGCTAATTCGCAGACCGTCTTTAAGAAGAGGGCGAGCCCATAGCCGTCCACCATGGTGTGGTTGAACCGGACACCAAGCGCAAAGCCGCCGCAAGTGAAACGCGTCACCTGAAAATGAAAAATTAGCCACTCATCATATCAGTTTACTTAAATTAAATACTTGTCACTCAGTTCAAATACTCTGTTCTAATCTAGAGTACAATTACAAAATTAAATCATCCACACCAAATTAAATAACCACAAATAATGCGTAGTATTTTGGGTTTCTGAAAGAAAAAAAAAATGTCTTGTAATACGATAGTATATCCTAATTGGTGCAAGCATTTCGTTAATATATTCATTCAGATTCTGGGATTATTCTACGATTGGATCGGAAATCGGAGTTGGGATACAAAATAAGAGTAAGACTTGAAGCCCTTGGAACAATTTCAGGATTCATTGTATTTTATGGGGAAAAATACTAAAAATGTATTTGTGGTTAGACACGTTTTCAAATAAGGTCATGTGTTTCAGTTTTTATCAAAGTGGTTCATGCGTTTGAATTCCGTTATCACAAGAGGGTCACGCCGTTAAAAACGCCTAAGAAAGACGGTTAGTAGTAACTCCGATTTTCAAAAGTGCCCGAAAAATTAAAAGAAATATGTTGTGCGCCCCAACAATAGAACCGCTAGCTAGGCCATCTTTCTTTTTTGTTTCCAGCCACCCTTGTCACCGGAAAAGTGATATTAGCGAAAACATTCGACTGTTTCAGGTTTAACGAGTCAGGTTGATTTGTATGAGGTGACTGACTCTATGTCTACTTTATGGTTCACGATTAGATCTGTAAAATCTGTCTAAAGGTTTTCTTGTATGCGTTGTCGTTTTTAATATAAAGCCGCTCTTTTATGATAAAAAAAAAATACAAATGTGCTTATTACAACTTCAGAGAAGGCAAGTTGTAAGTTGTTCTTCTTTTATGTTGGACGACCCCAACCAACTACCAAGTAGTAAATTTTGTCACCATCGAAGTATTTAAGACACTTGATTAGTTGATTCTGTCATTGTAACGAAGTATATGTTGGAACTCTTCATGCCATGTGACCAGTACGTTGTATGTAGGGTGGATGTCTATCCTCAACATTAACTACTTAATTTATTAAATTCAATTTTCTAGCTAACTATTGTTTGTTTGATCACATTTCATTTCTAAATTCAATCAGCATAAGTACATTGCTGCATATTGCTACATGCAGTAAGCCTAAAAATAATACTCCGTACTATTAACTTGATTCCAAGAACAGAGTAGTAAAAGATGGCTAATTCTACTTTGAGCATGTGAATCAATCATTTAGAATACGTATTGTGTTTTTTTGAAAGGGAAGAATACGTATTGTTAAAATTGGGTAGTTCAAACCTAAACAAATATTAAAATAATGATATGTATTTATCAAATGTTTTATAAATACTGTATTGTGTATTCACTTATAAGCTCAACTTAATAGTAACTTAAGTCGAGTTTCACCAAGTTTGATTGCAATCATCTATTCATCTCCATCAATAACCCTATTTCTCAACCGATTTAATCGAAAATTTTGTATTCACATTATCAATCTAATTTTTTCCTGCAATACAATTTATTTTTAATGAAATACTTACTTTTGTTGTTGTACACAATGTTGGAAAAATGTGTGAAAAATTGCATTAAATGGCTATTTTAGGGCAATTTTTTGAGTGGGGTCCACTTCCGATTCGGGTCGGGTCAAAATGGTTTCGGATTGTCCTTGCTTAGGGCTACAATTCGATATATGGTACGCTCAAAACGGATAACGGGTGAATGAGAAATGGTTTTTCGAAGTTTACCCGTTAGAAGGGAAAAAGGATGGGTTTCTAGTGTGTTAATTTCCCACACCGGAAAACCCAAGGGATTTGCAACCCTTTATAAATGGACTCCCCCCTTAAGGAGTTAAGATTCCTAAGGGTAAAGGCTCTCTCCACGCGCGCAGGGGGGTGCAAATCAAATCCCGAAACGTAAATTTTTTCCCAGTTGACTCCGAACAGAAGGCCTCGACCAGAACATCTCGGTATGGTGTTCTGGTGGCTTCGGGCAGGAGGCCTCGACAGAAACCCTCCTAGGGTGTTCTGCCGGCTTCGGACAGAAACCCTCCTAGGGGTGTTCTGCCGGGTTCGGACAGAAACCCTCCCAGGGGTGTTCTGTTGGGAGGTCTTCTGGTGGCACTTCTGAACCGTTACAGCAATAAATGCCCAACGTTCTTATCTTTTAATGCAGCGTTAAATGGACAGTTCATGGACGATTCAATGCCCAACGGACTGGTCATTGATGTCCAACGTTCAGGTCCATTAATTCACCATTTACACACAACAAATCCTCCTATATAAAGGCTGGCTGGTGGTTTGCAACAACACACGAATTCATACACTCCATGCACGTTTTGCACCTCCAAAACACACTGCTAGCGATCTGAAAATCCCCTCTGTGTTCATACTGTGTTCTCGTTCGCTGGAATTCTTGTTTGTGTGCTCAAACACTAGTTCGTAGTCATCGTATCCTGGGAAACGATTGTTGCAACGCTCCTAGCACCGTGAAAGGCGACAAATACGTTTTAAGGACATCGTGCGTAGCACGAGCTTTGACTAATTCTGCTTCATCTCCTTTCTTGTTTTTCTCTAGTCATTTTATTTAATTACTTTATTTTAATTAATTTTCTTTATTTTCCAAAACACACCCTTGTCAATATCATTTTACGAACAATTAACATTTCAAAAAGTCAAATTGTAAAAATAAATAAATTTGGAAGTTAATATTTCTATAACTGTGATCTTAGACCTTTTTTTGAAGAAGATGTAGAAAAATGTGTATCCATGCACTCTTAATTTTAGCATTTAAACTATCTAAAAAAATTGGATCCAAAAAATCTCAACCGTCAGATCTTCAATTTTTTTTTGGGAAAATAATGATTAGCCCGTTAAGGTTTGGTCATAATTATAAAATCAACCTTTTATTTTTAGAACTGGACTATTAACCCCCTGAGCTTTTATTATATATGGAATCTTCCCCTTCCGTTAACTTTAAGTTAATTTGATGGTTAATTGTTAGAGGAATTTCCCAAAATGTCCTCTATTAATATAAACTACGGAGTGTAAAACAAGAGCTTCCCAGGTTTATGTCAAATAGTATTCGAACAATGAATTGAGGGGTTCGTTTCCCCACTGCTGCACGCTTAGTTTCTATGCTTTTCTCCTTTTTTACTTTTTTTTTCCCAACTTCGCAGACTCATTCATTAAAAGAAAATTGAAGAATCTTAGTTGACATGATGCATATTTGTTGAGGCATGCAATCGTCTGGGAGTTGATTTTGGCATGTATTCAACCCCACTTACCCCACTTAGTCTAGCTGATGAAAATAAACTTCAAAACTACATCAACATTTGATCTATATCTTAGTTGGGCTAGTGGAGACATCATTGATCTGAGAACTAGAAAGTGGAGTGTTTGGCTTCTAGTTCAACTCCAAAAATTCAATTCTGGGAAGTTGATTTTCAAAACATTGTTCTGTTGTTGGGCTTACGTCCTACTCTTAAACCAAGTGAGTTGCAAAGAGTTCAAGCAACAATTATATACGTAGCATTAGAAAAAGTAATGAGTGTGTTGAACAAATAATCAATAATAAGGGTATATTGGTCAAAACAGTGTCTATTTAACGATGTTTGTTATTGAGTCGTTTATTTTCTTAATAGGATTTGATGGAAGGGGGAGACAACAAATAGAATCAAAGTCCAAGGGGTATATAGCTGGAATCTAAAATTACAAGGTTGTACTAGTAATTATGATCAAACCAGAAGGGGTTAATCATAAATTTCCTTTTTTTTATTTATAATTTTTTGTAAATATTGATGTCATATAAAAGTTAGATAACAAATTACAAACGTGAATGTTTTTTTTGTAAACAATGGAGTATGGGTTACAACAATATTAAACAAAAAAACAATTTTCTATAGCAGGCCCCATCCCCACTTTTCACCTCCCTTTCTCCAGCTTAGAGCATCTCCAATGGTTCCTCTTGAGAATTTGCTTGCAATTTTAAAACTCATAACTTACCATTGGAGCATTGCTTCTCCTTTTGCTTGAGAAAACTAATTAGCCAAAATGAGCTACTGACTTGAGCAAAGAGAAGTACTAAATATAACACTATTAATAATAAATGAAGAGGAAGATGTCATACCTAACCATTGGAGTACATTTTAATTTTGCTGCAAATGCGCTAACCGCTGGAGATGTTCTTAAATGATTCTTCTTTGCCGCACTCACATTAATTGTGATAAATTCCCAAAATATTTCCAAATATATCACTAAAATAAAATCAATGTATAATAATGTGACTATGATAACTTTAATAATAACTATAATTATATACAAATGTTAGAATCTAGTGACTATATAACTTAATTACTCGTAGTAATTTATAGTCAAATTCTTGACTACATACTATCCTCCGTTCTTTTTTAGTTGCAACATGTTGAATTGTACATTATTCACGTGCTCTACTTTGACTACATTTTATTTATTAATTTATAAGAATTTTTTTTATAAAAAATATTGGTCCATTTGTCTCAATACAAATATTCAAAATCTATTTTTTAATTTTTTTTTACTAATAGAGAATAAGAAATATCGACGGTCAAAGACGTGTGTTGGCAAATGTGCAAGTTGACTGTTACAATTAAAAAAGAATGAAGAAAGTATTTTTATGAGTAATACTTAAAAAATCTTTAAATTCCGCTTCTTCTTTTTCATTAGGGACTAATAAGTGAAAACATCGCATTCCCATTTTTTATTTTATACTAGTAATTGCGACCAGTCAAAATCAACCCATGATGGGGTGGTTGTCAATCTCGTCATATTAGTAGTGTTATAATGCCCTTTTTGGAAATGCAACTTGCATTCTTGCGACCCATACATATGGACATATGGTAGTGTCAGATACGGGCGAACAAAAAAAACCGAAAAAACCGAAACCGACCGACAAACCGACCGAAACCGAACCGACCGAAACCGAAATTGACCTAAACCGAAACCGACTCAAACCGATTAAACATTGGCGGTTCGGTTTACGGTTTCACCTTTGGGGTTAAAAAACCGACCGAACCGAAACCGACCGACAAAAATCGACAAAAACATGCTAAAACTAACCGAAACCGACACGAACCGACCGATATTAACCGAACCGAAACCGAACCAAAACCGACTCAAGTAGTGCGGTTCGGTTTACGGTTTCAGCTTTTCCGGAAAAAAATCGACCAAACCGAACCGACCAAACCAAAAACCGACCAAACCGAACCGACGAACACTGACACTGTCAGATATTCAAAGTTCAAACTGCCGGGCCAGCCGGAACCTAACAGACCAAATAAAATGAAAAGAAGGACGCTACTCAAATTTAATTT